TGTAGAGAGACCTCCTGTGTAGAGGCCACCGCAGAGTCCAACATGGAGGACAGGAGGGGGGCAGACAGAGAGAACCCCAACCCCTCCACCAGCCAGTCTGGGAGAACATGGAATAGATATCCAGAGCCCCAGAGGAGGAAAACCAGGAGGAGACCCAGAAGAGAGAGGGCGCCGAGCCCACCGGAGACCCCCCAACCACCTGAACCACCTCAACCACCCAGGTGGGAGTCCAGTAACATTGTATCAATGCCGCTGCTGATTATTCTATACATTGTATACATGTCACTTCCTGTTTACAGTTCCTTGTATGGTCAGCTGACCATACACGTCCAATCAAAGTAGGAGGAGCTTGTATTCTGATAAATAGAAAATCTTTTCCTGTATCATTTATTCTCTTTTCTATAAAGTTCCGAAAGAGAAGACAAACGTATGTGAATGATAAGACGACGTGGAAACTTCTAGTGAGATAAAAGGAACAATGTACAAACGCTGCAAAATATTCCGAGAGTGATCAGAGCGAAGCGTTACAATACCCGATCACCAAAAATGTCATATCAACTTTATTGTGTCATTCCAAAAGCCACTATAAATCAGTAGGTGATCCTGTCATGAAGGTCCTTGTTCAGGCACTTCCTGTTTAAGGTGACAACGTTCTGTCCCTGTCTCGCAATTGTGCCCCTGAGTTGTCACCCTGCCACATTTTAAATGGATACTGCAAGTGGGCATGTTGGCGCACATTGCACAGACATGTATTATTTTTACTACTGAGCTGATCCAACCTTTTTATTATTGCAATTGTTATTTTAAGGAGCCAGGATGAAGCGTGGGAGCAACAGTACTGTTTTTGCGCATGAATTCTTCTTGGTCCACCTGACCAGGCGTGTGTCCTTTGCCTACAATATTTGTACTAAAAGCTTTCCCTCTTTGTCAGCTTTAAAATGTTGAGCGATGTGCTGCTGATCTTCTGCAGCCTTCTCGAAACCATTTCCTGTCTACATGCACTCCAGCGATGGCTGCATGACAAGTCTCAGGGTTTCCTGATGGTGACAACAGTGGACCATGTCTGTGTAATGTGTGCTAACAGAGGGTGACAACGCAGGAGAACAACAAGGAGAAAGGGGCATTGTGTTGTCACCTCTCACAGGAAGTGTCTCCATCTCTATAGGAAAATGACAGGAAATGTTGCATTGGATGGAGTGATTATGTTTTCTGTGCTGGTGAGGGCAGCGTTAATGCTTTGTATTGTTTTAAATGAAATAGATGGTCAGAACCTGCAGACATGCTTAGCTGCCCTGGGCACAGCGTTTTTATCTGGGGTGGGGCATGTGGTGAGCTGCACCCTCCTCATCACGTGTGTGCCCTGCCTTCGCCTCTGATTGGTCGGCACTGTCACAGTCTGACTGGGGCAGGAAAGTCCCTCCAACATCACTGTGCACTCTCCTCTCCATGTGAAACCTGATTGGCGGCCCCAGAGCTGAGCAGTGACGCCGAGGCAAGCCCAGTGGCAGCTGGTAGGGGGCTAGGGAGGGGGTTAGTTTGGCATCTTCCCCATGGGCACTCATCTTGACAGTGAATGAGGTCATCACAACGACTCAGTGGTCCCCACCTCTGCCTTACAACACGGGGGGGGGGGTCCCTGTTTCATACCATGGTCATCAAATGATCTGCATGGAGTTTACATGTTCTCTCTGTGCTTACCTGTTTTTCCTTCCACACGCTGGTGTGTTAATTGGTCCTCCTTGTCCGGGGGCGAATCCTAGACCCAACTTTATTGCTTAGCTACAGTGTAGTCCTCAGTAGTGACGGGCTCGGGCGTGTTGGCAGCTCCACCCGCCCAGCCCGCCAGGAAGCTGACAGCGCCAATCACAGGTACTGAGACATGCAGCGGCGGAGCGGGATAATGTCTCTGTGATTGGCGCTGCGGCTAGGGTTGCCACCTGTTCAGGATTCACCCCGACAGTCCGGGTTTTGAATGCTGTGTCAGGGTTTCATGGCAGCAGAAACCCGGACACAAGATGCCAGGCAGACAGGGGCAAATTAAGAGAGGGGCTACTGGCCCCCCCACTGAATATAGTCTCCACTGTGATATTTACATATAAATGGGCGGCGCTATAATGCGGCACTATCAGCTTCCTGGCAGGCTGGGCACGTGGGGCTGCGAACACGCCCAAGCCCATCACTAGTCCTCAGGAGGTCCAGGACCAATCTGTGTTGTCTGGCGCAGGTGCCTGGATCAGCTGACTGGCTGAACAGAATGATACATTCTTCAGCAGGTCACATGCACAGCCGTTTGCATGGAGTTCAGGTTTAAACAGAACTGATCTCTTCCTGTCCTCCTTGTGAAGTTATTATTATTATTACATAGTATATATATAGCGCCAACAGTTTGCGCAGCGCTTTACAATGTAAGGAAGACATTACAATCGCAATACAAGACAAGATGGTAAGGAGCGCCCTGCCCCTGAGGGCGCACAATCTAAAAGGGGAGGGGCCAGTGATACATGAGGAGGGAGCTGTGTGGGGATGAATTGTTTGAGAAAGTGAAGTTTCGGTGGAAAGGTCTTCCATGTGTAACATTGTCTCCTTCTTTCGCAGCAGTAACAGCTCTGCGCAGGATGACCTCAGTTTCCACTCCCTGATGGAAGAGATCACCTGCTCCATCTGTCTGGACGACCTGCAGGATCCCGTCTCCATCGCATGTGGTCACACCTTCTGCCGCGTGTGTATCAGCACGCACTGGAGCACGCCGCAGCTGGAAGGGTACCTGTGCCCCGAGTGCCGGAAGCAATGTCCCCGATACCAGATAGCCCCGGACTACCGGCTGATGAACCTCATATCCAAGATCCAGAAGGGGGTGCAGGAGAATGTGAACGGCCCCGGGAAGGTATGAGCGGTTCTCAGCGGGAATGCTTCATAAATCAGTCCATGTAAATCCAAACTTATGTTTCATATTTACACTCTATGGCCAAAAGTCTGTGGTCACATGACCATCACATCTATAGGAGCTTGTAGGATGTCCCATTCCAGAACCATATATGGAGTTTTCTTCCCTTATGGCTACAACACCCTCCACTCTTCTGGGAAGGCTTCCACAAGGTTTAGGAGTGTGTCTGTGGGAATTTGGCCCGTTTGTGAGGTCAGGTACTGATGTTGGGTCAGAAGACCCAGTGTTCTATCGAGATGTCCAACTTGTCGAGATCTCCAACTCCCGTCAGTCAATCACCTAAGAGCAGTTCTGTAATTTGCGCTAGTGCGCATGCGCAGGCATCCGATGTCACAAGCAGTGATGCCAGCTGGAGAACTCGATGAGGATTGCGAGGCCGCACAGGCGCACTTAGGGCAATTGGGCCCGTTGACGAGGCTTGGAAAAATGCCATGGTTGCCGCACTAGCACCATCTCATCAAATTCTCCAACGGATGTGACGTTACGAGTTGGAGATCTCGACGAGTTGGCCATTTCGACAGAATACCGGCTCACAATCAGCATTCCAATTCACCCCAAAGGTGTTCAGTAGGGTTGAGGTCAGGGCTCTGTGCAGGACACTCGAGTTCCTCCATGCCAAGCTGGTCACACCGTGTCTTTATGGAGCTGGCTTTGTACATAGGGGATAGTCATGGTGCAACAGAAAAGGGTCTTCACCGAACTGTTACCACAAGGTTGGAAGAGCACAATTGTATAAATGTCGGTGACATCAATAGTATCCTTCGCACCTGACCTCAATTATTTGGAGGGGTGCCCATATTCTGCTGGCCATATAGTGTAAGTCCAATCTGGGGGGACAGTTCACCCATTGCGTTCTGTTTATTATTAGAGTCTAGCTACAAGATCCTCAGCCATAGTTCGCGGCTGTCCTCACCCACTCTGAAGGTTTTATTGTCTCCAACAACTCTGAGATGTTCTGTACTGGATACTCTTGTTACATTTCCCATAATAGCAAATTAAAAAAAAATGGCCCCGTGCATCCTCAGAACCCTAAGTCCCCTCATACACGGGCTGATCAGGAGACGATCCCGGCACAGATCCCCTCCTGATCAGAGCAGTATGGATCAGAGGTCATCGCTGTGACTTTCATGTCCTTAGAATTTGTTCCTCCTTCCTGCGATGGAGGAAACAACTGAGAGTGCCGGACCCCATGTGTGTCTATGGAAATCTGCTGTATCCGTTTACATCAGATTACCCCCGATCTGGCACGATCCGGTCCGTCAAAATGGAACACTGTTCCATCTGTTTGTTCGGAGCCGGGGGTAACCGGGTGCAAACAGACGCTCGTCCGTTTAGACATGGCTGTCCATAGACTTGCATTGGGCATCCGATCGGGTCCGCCTGATAGACGGACCTGATCGGAGCGGCTGTCTTAAAGGAGCCTATACCTGTAGTTGATCCACAGGATCCTCTAATTTGCTCCAATAAGGAAATAAATCCATCCATGATCCAGTCTGTGTAGATCAAGGCCATACCTGAATTTTGTGAGGATAGCTGATCCACCATCCCAATAAAATAACCATGATCCAGCCCAGTAGACATATAGCAGGAGCCGGTAGGTTTCCTATCTTATGGGTCCTATGCAGTCTAGCATTACATGTATGCTTCAGAAAAGAAAAAGGAACCCCTCTCTTAAAACCCTCTCAGAATGGACAAAACCTCTGCCCCACTTCACTTGGCGAATGGGTATTTGCTAGACCCAAGTATGGCTACTGCTGTAGTTCACAAGCTGAAGGACACTATTCCCCTTAATCAGATATGATGTCCCTATTCTATATGTTTTCTCTTTTCTCCAGGGGTCACAGGTATCCTCGGAGCATGGGTACCCGGTACAGCTGGTGTGGACTGATGGCAGCGGCTGCCTACATTTGAACGAATCGGTCCTGTGGGATTGTTTTATGAACTCTGAGTCATCAAGTTACCCCGTCTACCTGCTTGGCGTCATTGGAGAGAAGCGTCGGGGAAAATCTTTCCTGATGAATTACATTATGAGGGCCCTGGAGAGCCAGGTGAGAGACCCGGGTCCTATAACCATGTGTCTGTAGGCCCTGTAGGTATGGGGCCTGGTCACAAAGGTCAAATGTTTAAATCTCAGGCAGCCTTGGACCTTTGTAGCTGCGAGTACTTTGGAACAATTTGGCCTTAAAGTTCACTGAAGTCATTTAAGTTGTTCTCTCAATAGAATAGCGTATCCTGCTCTCACCCCCTTCCAGCAGTGACTCAGCAGCTCAGCTCCCCCATTCCCCTTTCCAGCAGTAACTAGGTAGCTCTGAACACTCAGCTCCACCCTTCCCTCCAGAAGTGACTCATGATCCACCATCTTCCTAATATCTAATGTACACAGACCAGGACCAGGAGAACCGGGTGACCTGAGCCGCTAAGAAAAAGCCTTGGGTGACTTCTCTGCCAATGGTGTGACCTTTGAGGATGCAGATTCCACAGAACCTGCAGCTACCGAGATCAGTAAAGATTTATTTTAAGCTCATTTACTGCTTGATAAGAATATGAAGATACGTGAATGTCCTTCGCCCAGCCACAGCATGAAGCCCATTGTACATGTTGTTCTGTAAAATGAGGAGCAGCTTGTGAACATGTGTTTTTCCTTAGGAGAAGGGCGAAGAGTTCAGCTTGGGGGCAGAAGACGAGCCCCTACAAGGGTTTCAATGGAGATCTGGCATTGACAGCACTACAAAGGGTGTATGGATGTGGAGCAAACCATTCATACTGGGCGCCAAGGGGGAGAAGGTGAGATAAACACTGCTCAGTAATTCGTCTTTGCTATAGAGCTATTGTCCATTGGTAACACCCCTCCTCATTTTGGGTTGTACACAACTGGATACCCCAGAAGAGGACATTTTAGCCCACTTTTTAAATGGCTGATTTCCTTCTACTTCTCTGTGTGACTTGATGCCTGCTCTGCTACCTCCATTACCTTGTGTGCCACTGACTACTTTGGAGACAGTAGAGTCTCCATTACTCAAGGACTGCTGGAAAACAGATTTGTATGGGTACGGATTGGGCAATTATACAGCCGCTCAACATTAGGGAGGGAATACATAAAGCCTACAAAGAGTCTACTCCAGATTGTAATGAGTGAGAGTATCGGCTGCACTTAGTGATGGTGGTGCACCTTCTAGACCAGCCTTTCCCAAATGTTTTACCCAGAAGAACCCTTGAAATTATTTTTAGTTCTCAGGGAACCCCTGCTAAATCCAAACTCATTGGGGGTCATTGAGAAAAATACACCTTTTATTATGGCTAATATGTCTCCTTACAGTGTGGGTCAGATTGCCTACAGACAGCTAAAAAGGACATTGATATCATGCAGTTGGTTCTGCCAAGTTACATTGACCCCTGGCCTATGCAAACACCCTCAAATGGGAAATCAATTAGCAACTGCCCAATTAATCCTTTCCAACATCTAGAGGAATCCTGGTTAGGAGGGGCTATTGTAGAGTTTGGAAACTATTAAATGGTCTGATCTGAATCTGATTTGTGCTATTTTAAATCACTTTGCAGGTGGCGGTCTACATCCTGGACACGGAGGGGTCTCTAGATATTGAAGGCGACCGGGAAAGCTGCATTAAGCTCTCTGCGCTGTCTATGCTGCTCAGCTCCCATCTGGTGAGATAAATATGTGAATATTTAATCTGTACCGTTCATACCTCCCCTGTGCCTGCTGTGCTGTGCTGTGCTGTGCTGTGCTACGGAGGAATCCGATGGAGCCAGCAGAGGAATTTCTGAATCCCAGGATTCATTGTGCAGAGGGAGGAGGTGGGCGGGCTTTCCAGATAACCCTTTCCCATCCGAGTACAATTGGCTCTACTTACTGGGCTTATCTAACACCAGTTCTTCTACACAAAGTAGGCTGTGTGGCTACTTCCAATTGTCTACATTGTATTCAACCTCACGCTGACTTTAATCATCTAATATGGAGTTGCCCGGTCATTGTTGATTTTTTTTTTTTTTGCCGTACCTTTCCAAGAGCAATTTGGTAAGCAGAATGAGGGAAGCGCGCTTTCACTATAGATTCCTCACAAGCGGAGTGCATTGGGTATCCCTCCACCTGTGACGGAAGCCGGCGATATAGAGGAGGCATCGGCTTATTCAGCTCTGCTCCCTCCGGTGCCGACTCGCTTCCTCTAGCGCTGGCTTAGTTGGCAGCGCTGATTCTCTCCCACCTCTCCCGCAGCTCTTCAAGTTCCCCCTTATGCCACCACCGGTCCTGGGCATGGTCACAACTAGGTCTTAATTTCGGGGTAGGTCTTATTTTCGGGGAGAGCATTTATCAATGTAATATTATATGTAAGTTATTCAAATGAGACCGTCTTTGTTAATGAGTTTTTAAATTAATATTTTACTCAAGAAAAGGTTTTATTGACTCCTGTACATATCTGCCATGCAATGATTTATGTCTGCACCTTTTTTCAATGTCTGGATACAATTAGCAGAATATTATAAAAAAAAACTGGATCTATGGAAGTTGTGTGCACCACAGGAGACTCATCAGCTGTGATTGACACCCTCTGTAACCCCCAAGGGTGTGTCTGTGACAGTGAGTTTCTCTTGCGGGTGGCTGGCTGTCACACAGACTGATGTTGCAGAAAATTCGGAAGCACACAGTAGGGAGATGAAGGACATTAAAGTGCGGCACAGTTTTCCACCAAGCAACAGAGGCAGAAGTAGATAGGACAGATGTAGGTTGGGCTGGAGTTTTGTTTTAAAGTGACATTAAACACTCAGATTTTTTAACATAAACCAATACTGTAATGTGCGCCTTACTGTAATCCCTTCTCTTTGCTGCTCTTCCTTTTAAATCTGTATCTGTTCTCATGCTCTGCAGAACTTCTGTTTTGCAGCAGACTGCCTTGTCTCAGGAATGGATACACGGTGTCTGTGTATACGTTTCTATAGGCTTGTAACCTGAGCCAGGACTACAGGAAGAGGCCCTGAGCTGCAAAGGGAAGTTCTCCCCCAGCATGAGAAGACATGAGGATTTAAAAGGAAAAGCAGCAAAGAGAAGGGAAACTACCATGGATTACAGTGAGGCGCACATTACAGTATTGGTTTATGTTAAAAAATCTGAGGGTTTAATGTCACTTTAAGTAGAGAAATAAGGTTTCTGAGGAAAGTATTTTCCATGGTTGGGCTGTAGGATAAGGTGGGTTTTTCTGACACTGATGGAGCAATGTAGGGAGTATTACTGCATGGAGAATAAACAGATGCCACCATTGCTCAGCAGATTCCATGGGGGAAATAAACAGTGACTATATGGCATGATAGTACAATCCTTGAACAAAACTTTATATAAATAAGAGATTAGACGGAATGCTCGTCATTATCTGCCATCAATGTTTTATTATTCCATGTTTAATCTTCCAGATATTCAACGTGGCCAGCTGTCTGAAGGAGACGGAGTTGGACTACATGGAGGTGAGTGGTGACCAGTGATGGGTAGGTGGATATCTCAGTAGTAGCTCTGGACTAGCCATAAGGACAAGTACGGTTCAGTCTGGCAATGGTGCTTTACTACTTGCAGTACGTGGTGGCCGCCAATAAACTGCTGGTCTTAAAGTGGAACCCTAGTTGCCTCACTTTTTTTACAAGTAAGGAAAAAATAAAACCTTTTTCTATCATATATTCCACCTAATGAACCTTCCACCTTGTGCTACAACTTTATCTATACCCAGCTTTTCATATGGCACCACCAACAAATAATTATTCCGCTCCTCTTGTTGGGATCACCACTTCATTAAAGGAGAACTATGGGGTTAAGTATTTTCCCCATAGTTCTCCTTAGGGTAACGAGAGGACACAAACTAGCGTCCTCCCGTCACCCTAGGCTCTGTAGCTCGCGGTATACTGAGACGCCGCAGCTGAAGCGGATCCCGACAATTGTGCCGGGATCCGCCCAGCTGCGTGACTGACAGCTGGCTCTGCCTAACTAAAGGCAGAGCCAGCTGTACCCGCCTCCTCCCCCGTCCGTTCCGCCAGTCAGCTCTGGCGGATCGGAGCGGGAAGGGGGGAATCCAGCCCCTCCCCTGTCACGACAGAGCGCCGTGACAGGATTGAGAGGTGAGCGAACGCCGGTATGTGTTCCCTCACTTCCCGATCTACTGAGCCGACCTGTGACAGTCTCATTGTCACAGGTCGGCTAGAACTATGAGGTGAGTGGAAATTACTTACCTCATAGTTCTCCTTTTAAAGAGGGCCTGCAGAGCAAGCAGAGGACAAAGGACTAGTCACCAGTGTTTCCTGTGGTCTTCCTGCAGCTGATCTTGTCCCATTACTGACTTTTCATGGCTGTTCTGTATTGAGAGAACCATCTTGGTAGAGGCAGGGCTTTGCTTCCTCAAGTCAGAGTTGCCCCTGATGACTGGAGATCTGATAACTGGAGGGGTACTGATAGAGATGAAGGAAGCCCAGGTCCACAGAATGGATGAAGCAGTAACGGGCAGATCCTTGCACTGCAGGTTCTCAGGTACATCTTTCTCTTCAGCAAAGAGAACAGTGAGAAGTACAGTAGTGACATCACCAAATCTTACTACAAATCTCCTGAGACAAGCAGTCAGAGGCAGCAGTGCCTCAGATGATGTCACACTGCAGATATACAGCTATGAGGCTAGAGAACAGAAGTGCCCATACACAGGCAGGGCCGGATTTACTCTCGCTGCTGCCCCAATGCCATGTTCCTCAATGCACCCCCCTACCCGCCAATCCCCCCATAGAGAATGGCAGACCTGCAGGCTGCATACAAGTGATCTCGGCGACATTGCTGGGATCACTTGTACAAAACAAGCGGCGGCTTCCCCGCTGTACATTTAGCTCTGCTTGCCCAAAGCCGGGCTAAATTTAGAAAACAACTACCCACCCGGTGCCCAGAACTGCATGTCCCGGGCATCGGGAGATAGGAATTCCACACCCCTACCGCCCCTCTACTCCCTGCTGCCCCGAGGCCAGGCCTTGGTTGGCCTTGTGTGAAATCCAGCGCTGTACACAGGAAGGACACTGCTGTTTTTCAGGAGGAATTCAAGATATAAGATACATTTTTCAGGATATTGCTTAGATAACTTAACATTTTCAAATGTTCCCTATGACATAGCAAATCATCACAATCTGGAAGCCTTGTAGGCAGCGGGGAGGGGGATGCCAATGTCTTCAAAAATGTTCTCCCATCCTGCAGATTGTATCAGTACTCTGGAGTATGTGGCCTTCCTAATCTTGACTTTGTCATTGTCAGTAGGGTCAAAGGCCAGCAGGCAGGAATCATTGCATCTTGTAGTACTGCTTCACCCCGCAAAGTATTTTAGATTGCTCCTAACAGGGACGTAACTAGAAATCACAGGGCTCCATAGCAAAATTTTGTACGGTGCCCCCGTGATTTCTAGTTATACCCCTTGCAGAGCCCACTCGAGATCCCACCTGAGGGTGAACTTGCAGAGCCTATGCAGGGTCAACCTCAGATGGGCTGGTCGCACTTCTTACCTGTCCGCCTCCTCTTCCTCTACGGTCGCTGATGGGGCCCCGCCTCCTCCTCCGTCGCCGGGCCCGCCTCCTTCTTTGTCACCGGGCCCCGACTCCTCCCCTGCTGTTGACCACGGGCTCCGCCTCCTCCACTGCCGCTGCTGGCTCTCATTGACTCTGTGGAGAGGAACGCGCTTCCTGTCAGTGATCTGAGCAGCGGCGTGTTCGTCTTCAGCCGCCAGTGAAAGCCGCCAGCAGAGGATCCCATAGCGACCTAGGCGGCCGGCACGGCATCTAGCCGGGCCCCACTGTGCCCCGGGTCCATAGCGGCCGCCTGGGTCGCTGTGGTGATTGTTACGCCACTGACTCCTAACCAGCTTTCCACGGAACCCTTGGGTTCCTCCAGAGGTTGCTAGTGGTCCTTAAAGGAGAACTATGAGGCGAGTGCTTTTCACTCACGTCATAGTTCTAGCCGACCTGTGATAATGAGACTGTCACAGGTCGGCTCAGTAGATCGGGAAGTGAGCGAACACATACCGGCGTTCGCTCACCTCTCGATCCTGTCACGGCTCTCTCCCGTGACAGGGGAGGGGTTGGATTCTCCCCGCTCGGCTCCGATCCACCAGCGCTGACTGGCGGAACGGACGGGGGAGGGGGCGGTTACAGCTGGCTCTGCCTTTAGATAGGCAGAGCCAGCTGTCAGTCACGCAGTTGGGCGGATCCCGGCACAATTGTCGGGATCTGCTTCAGCTGCGGCGTCTCAGTATACCGCGAGCTACAGCTCTCTGTGTACTGAGCTTATGGTGACGGGAGGACGCTAGTTTGTATCCTCCCGTTACCCTAAGGAGAACTATGGGGAAAAGACTTAACCCCATAGTTCTCCTTTTAAGCAGTGGCTGATGAACCTCACATTTGATGGTTCCTGCATAATTCCGGGGCCAATGCCATTTGAAAGCCCCAGCTGTCTGACATATGGCATATTTTCCACTGAACCCAAAAATGGTTTTAACAGGAGTTCCCTGACATCTGAAAACCATTTCAAGGGTTCCTCTGGAGTAAAAAGCTGAGAAAGGCTGAGTAGACTCTGCATGTGAATTGCTGTATCTTGTATCATGGTTACTACAGGAAGATGATGACTGCCTGAACTTGTTAATAAAGCTTTTCTTTAGTACCCTAGCCTCCGAGACTACAAAACACAACACTTTCTATGTAAACATTTGTCGCCACATTTGTTTAAGCTTTTTAATATGTAATTATTGGGACATGATTATAGATCAATTAAACTGGCAAAAGGCTGAATGTGAAAATCTGATCCCACTGGCTTATGGATTTCATTATTATTTTTTAGATAATGTGGAGTGTACCTAAAAGTGTACCTAACATTAACATTCTAAATGTTGTAATGATGAGACAGATACTATTTGTTGTTGTACATAAAAAATCTCAGTAGGCAATACTGAACAGAAAATCATGCCTGATTCTTACCTCCCCTCCACACACTTCATAGGCCGGCACTGAACCATCCCTTCTTTACTCTTCTCCGCAGAAAAACTGCCATCCCCTTGTGAGCGTTCAAGTTTAGGATACATTGTCTGTTACAGACGCCTGAGGCCATTCGGATCAGGCTTGCCCATTTAACACTGTCTATGGCAAGCTTTGTTTTAGAATCCCCTTCTGTTCATTTCATCAGCAGGCATGCAATCCCATTGTGATTTGAATGTTATCTGGATTACAGGAGTTGACAGTTAAGTACACTTTAAAAAATAAGTGTAATAAATTATAATAGCAGTTTATTATAATAATATGAAAAAGTATTATATATACACTATATTGCCAAAAGTATTAGGACGCCCCTCCAAATCATTGGATCCGGGTGTTCCAATCACCTCCATGGCCACAGGTGTATAACATCAAGCACCTAGGCATGCAGACGCATCTACAAACATTTGTGAATGAATGGGTTGCTCTCAACCTGCCGGCGGTGATGTAACTGTTACAAAGTAGGTCGAAGGAGTGGATGAGAATGTAAGGATCGGGGAAATCTGGAGGTTTTATAGGGACCAGATGCCACAATATATTATAAAGCAGTGAAATGCGTCTGCGGGTCCCGTCCACCAGATGGCGTGTCGGTCACATATAACGAAGGACAGATATGACCAAATAAACTCACAGCTGCACATCGGATGTACATGTGATGCACACTTTGTGACTCTCTGATCAAGTTTCCTGATGGCACCGACAACCCAGCATTGGCGTAATATTTTCACTATTCTTATCTGCACCAATCTCTTTACAGATGTATCTGCACATGGGGGAGGAGTACGGCTCCCAGCGGCTACAGGTAAGTGGCGCTCCTATATGACTTGAAACTATAAATTGTGTACAATGCAGCAGGATCTGCTGTGCCTTGAAAACAGGTCCTCTTTAAAACCCAACCTGTATGTCTTATAGAACCCTTAATAAAAACTTATTGAACTAAAACCCAACTTTCACCCCTTTCTCTCTCCTGAAGGTCCCCCGAACTTTATGATAAGCAGTTTTTTTTTTAAATATAGTTACCTTTTCTGAACTCTTTAGGGCAGTCAAGTGATGCTGCAGGGTCCTCTTCAGGCTGGGCAGTACTAAATGATACAGAGAGCAGTTCCAATAACAGCAATATACAATGGGGGGAATTTATCAAAACCTGGACAAAAACTGGAGCAGCATGGCAACCAATCAGAATGTCTTTTCAGTTTGATCAGTTAAGATTTGAAAATGAGAGAGCAAAGCCGATTGGATGCCAAGCACAGTTTTTGTCTGCTCCAGTTTTGATAAATTCCACTCAATGAGGACGCCACCAGCAGTTTACCCCGCACTCACAGTATGCCCTTAGTCTTATGGGTTGAGTGATGCTGGATGTCAATCAACCCAGAAGACCGAGGACATCTTGTGGTGACAATAGAGTACTGCAAGGGACAGATCCAGAAGAAAAATTAGTATCACAG